GGGGAGCCCGGTGGAAGGGAGGGAGGAGCTGATTGTCACCCTTTGCTTTAGAGCTGTGGTGTACCTGACAATCTTAAGGAAGTCGGTGGGCTGGGTAGACAAGAAGGAACAAGCTCCTGGACCGTTCGCAGGCTCCATCAGAACTGACAGCCTGGTTGGAGCTCCGAGGAGCACCTTGTGCCCTCGCACCCTTCCTGCAGCTGTTACTGCAGTTTCAGGCAGAGATCCAGGCACTGCGGAGGAAGGGAGAGGCACAGTGACCTACACAGACCCAAGGGAGAGATGCATTCCTTTGAATATGAGGACAGAGGGAAAAACAGAACGCGTCCAGGTTGAGGGGTCGCAGCAGTCTGTGGAGAGACTGTTTTGAAAGAGGCTGTCAGGGAACAGAAAGGGTTAAGCCTCCCTCGTCCTGATGAAGCTGCTTCCCTTCCCAAATCAGGCCTTCCTCTATCACTAGACACCCCCCCTCCCACCCCAGCAGCAGCTGGTCCTAGAGACCCACCCCCGCCCCCGCCCCCAACCGTGCTGCCTCAGTCCCATCCCATCTCCAGCTCTGTGTGAAGCACGAGCTGCAACAGCGGATGGTGGCAAGACCTAAGCTCATTATTTTCCAGGTGGAGAAAATGGAGGTGGGGCCGGTCCCCAGCAGCAGAGGGAGGAGCCAAGAGAGGAGGCCAAGAGCTGGGTCTTCCTGCCCAGGAACGCCCGCCCCCCCCCGGCCCCCCAACCTCCCAAGGCAGAGAGGCCTGTCTTTGCAAGGCAAGGGCCATAAAGGATGCTTCGGAGTTTGATTTGATTCCTGACACAGTAATCAAGGCCTCGGAGTCTCCGTGGAATCTTACTGAGGACGTCTTTCTTCTCTAAAGCCTCAGTCTAGAGCACTCAAGAAACTCGTATCCAATGATACTGTGAAGCATCGGTACCCCTCCCTAGCCTGGTTCCCTCCCAAATATTTATTGAGTACTTACTATGTGTGACCCTTGTGTAATTATTACCTCTTAGGCTTCTTGTTGGCCTCCTAAGGGAGTGTTTAGAGTGAGACAGGCGGAGGTTAAGTGTGCCAGGCCCCACCTAGATACTTCTAGAACCTTCTGTGGGTCTGCAGAGAGTGCCACAACCTGCTCGCCCCTGCAGAGAGAGTGCTGCAATGCACTTCACTCGGAGTGCAGTGCCTGGCTGGCCCTCAAGTCCCAGAAGGCAGGATTAGCTGCAGGACAAAAAGGGAGAGCAGCTTCTCATCCTTGAGCTTTTGCAAGGCTCGTCCTGAGAGACTGCGGTTGCCTTCAGAAATATGCCTCCCCTGAGATTAGGACCTGCCTGAGTCCTGGTGTCCCCTTCGGCCTTTCTGGACAAGTTCCTGAAGAGGAAAGCAGACAGGGCTGTGCCTCCTCGGGGTGTTCATTGCCTTGCCTCTGCCCTCTCTGCTCACTGCGAAGGCTGCTCCAAGCTTCTTTTAGGCATGTCTTAAGCCTCTGATCACCAAGCCCCTTGCCCCACAAATGGCATAAAAGCGAGCCCTGTCTCTGTCATTACCTTCCCATAATTCCTTCAGACGTGGAGGTACCTTTTCACTGATAAGCCCTCCGGTAAAATCTCCCCAAGTGATGCCCCTTCTAGATAGAACCCTGACGCACTTCTCCCTGAGAGCTTAAATCGCAGGCACCATGGCCAAGGCCTCCCAGGTTTCTGCCGCAGATAATTATGATGGGAGGGGCGTATGTTTTATTTTATGACTTATGTAAACTCTTGTTCCAGAAAGCTGTAATGTCTGTGGGAGTGTTCTGGGCTTGCTGTGTGCATCAGTGTTGGTATATACGGTGTACCAGGTCTCATTACAAAATACGTGTTTACGTAGGATTTTAATGGCCAAGAATGACAAAGAAATGAACGGACCATTTGGTCACATGTGTTACTGTGAGCCTCCTTCACCAAATGAGGTGTCTGAGCAAAGGTCAGCCCTTCCCTTATTTTAATCTAGGGCCCATTTATGCCCACAGGTGATTCTGCAAGTAACCTAAAGATTTCTGTTCTTTCAGAGCATTTCTTTAACTTTTAACATCATCACCCCCTACCTGTCTCTTTGAGCCCCTCTGATTACATCCTATGGCTTAAATGAAAAGGGGAAATAGATCGTTGTTGTTTTTTTAAGTAGGACTCAGTCGGGACAGTTTGCTGACTGAATACCCAAAGGTCCCCACTGGTTCATATACGCCAGCATCGTTATCATTATGAGCGCGCGTATGTTTCCTAAGGTAATCATACCAGATATTTTCAATTTAGGAATGTATCAAAGGAAAAATTGGTAATATTATTCTTTCCCCTGCCAGAGACAGCCAAAATATCTGTTTAATCGGAAAAGCGGTTGATCTTTTTTTTTTTTTTTTTTTGAGTTGGAGTCTCACTCTGTCACCCAAACTGGAGTACCGTGGCCTCGACCCGCTGGGCTCCGGCGATCCTTCTGCCTCAGCCTTCCAAGTAGCCCGAACGCGCTACCACACCCGGCTAATTTTTGATTTATTGTAGAGATGAGGTCTCGCCAAGTTGCCTGGGTGGGTCTCGAGCCCACAGGCTCAGGCAATCCACTCGCCCTGGCCTCCGAAAGTGCTGGGATGACAGGCTGAGCCACCAAGCCCGGCCGGTTGACCTTTTAACAGAGGCAAAGGTAAACTCCTGTAAGTTACTTCTTTTACCAAAGGGAGTGGGGTGGCTTTTGTGTTTGCATGAGGAACTTTAGCCAGGGAAATATGGGAGGGGGGTGTATCCTCAACAGTCATACACATCCATATACACACATACACCCATATGCCCATATACCAAATTCATTGCTACTGTTTGGAGGGCGGCATTTAGCCACCATCCATTTCTATTGTCTCAGCAGGGAAATAATTTTCTCTTTCCCTCTATTGAACTTACATAACAACCCCCCCCATTCCAACCTTAGAATGGAGTCCTCTGGGGGCAGCTGCAAAACATTCTCCCTGGGACAGATGGAGCCTCCCCTTCCTCAGCTACTCTGTGGGTGGTTTTAAAGCCCATGAGTCAACGCGGGCTGGCTGAGGAGTTTTGCGGATGGTGTGTGTTTTGGAGGCTTGGCTAGCTGATTCACAGTGATGAGTATATCGGTAATCACAACGATGAGAAGGATGGTACCTAATAAAGATTTTTTTTTCTTTCAAGTCCCATCTACAGTTCTTTCATTGGGTGTTTTGCCAAGTCTTACGCCATTTGATTTCAGTGTTCTTTGGGTTGTTGTCTTTTTTAAGAAAACGTATGTAATGCTTAAGTACGTCACAGAGGTAGACCTACAACAAGAAAAAGGACTTCAAACGGATTTTATGTGATGCAATGTGTGGTTGCTTTGGGCCGGAAAAAGGGGGGAGCGGGAGAGGCCTGGAGATCTGGGGCCAAATTTAGATGGCCTAAAAAAAAAAAAAAAAAAAAGCAGGCCTTATTGAGAGCATGGAATGTTCCAGGTCAGAAAAAAGTGTCAGCAACTCTCCATAGGTTCACGGTTTCTTTTCCTATCCTCCTCCCCTTTGTCTTAAAATAGAACCGGTCCCAAGAAATGAGGCCCTGGGTCAGGGCTGCAGACACCCAAAGAACAAACTTCCAGGGTCCCTCGGGGCTTTTTCCTCTCAAAACTATGGCGGAAGGGTTCGTTTGCGATTCCCATCCAATCTATCTGTTGCGTAAACACATGAAAATATGATTGAGACCTGAGACCTAGGAGGCGATGTTTTCTGGTTCTGCACCGAGAGCGGGTCCTGCCGGGCCCGGATCCGCGGCGGGGGTGGGGGGGCGCGCAAACTCGCCCCCCTCCAGCCCCGGCCCGGCCCAGGACTTCCCAGGGACTCGCGTGGCAACGTGCATTTTCTTTTCCTTCGAATGCACCCGAGACCTCTACACTGAGCCAGGCAACGATGAGCTGGTTTCCCTTTTCTTTTTTGCGCCCCTGTCCCAGTCTGGGTTGGTTTTTTTTATGTTTTTTTGTTGTTGTTTTTCCTTTGCCGAATCACGCAGACTTGGAACACCTGAGATCTGGGTGGCCCTGCATTTCCCAAAGCTTTGCGCTCAGCCGAGGGGCGGGCAGACGCGGGTGCCTTTCATCCCGATTCCAGGATACCTCCCAAGCCCAAGTCCTGAGGCGCGGAGAGGTCAGGGTGCCCTCGGCGGGGAGCCACCCACGGCAGGGACTGTGCCTGGGGGGGCTCCCATGCCTCCCTCCTCCCGGCATCTCGGGCCCCCACCCTCGACTCTCACTCCAGTGCCAGATGGACACTCGACGTCCGCGGTTAGAGATCGTTAAGGGGTCGCGGGCAGACACCGGCGGTCAAGGCGGGGCTCCATCCTCAGCCTCGAAGAAGGGGCCGGGCCAGACCCAAGGCCTCGGCGGGCCGAAATGTCCCCCTCTGGCCCCCTCCAGGCTTCCTGGGCCTCCACGGCGCGCGCACCCGGCCTGTCCTGCGCGCCCCGTGTCCCTCGGTCCCTCTCCCCTCATCCTCTTCCTGCCCCTCTCCCGTCCGCTCCGGGACCTTCGGCCTCGACGACCCCAGCCCGCGCCGGGGAAGCCCTCCCCCGTAAAGCCCCCGAACGTGCGAGAAAGAGGGGCTGACCGCTGCGGCCTGGGACGGGCGAGCGGGGCGGGGACCTCGCCGGAAAGCGCTTTAGGGGTGGGCTTTCTTGGGGGGAGGGTCTGTCTCCATGCCTCCTCCTTGACGCCCCGCGACGACACCCGCCCCACCCCAAGCTCCCCGTCCTGGACGCCCACCGCGACGCGGCCGAGGCGCGGGCATCTCGCCCCAGGGCCCGGCGATGTGTCCTCGCCCTCCCCAGACCCCCTCCTTCCCTGCGACACTCGCCAAGGAAGCCAAACAACAACAAAAATCCTCAACCCAGAACGCAAACGACACCTTCCTCCTTCCGCCTCGGTTTGCGCGAGTCCCAGATCCGACGCCAGAGGGGATGGAGCCGCCCGGGAGTCGGTTGGAAGGAAGAAGCAGAAAGCTCTCTCTGTCTTCTTGAATCTCCTTGCAAATGCAACTGCTGCTGCCATCGACCGCACACGGTCTTTTTTTTTTTTTTAAGAGCTTAATTTCTTCTGCTTCCTCGTCTGTTGGGCCCACCAGGGTGCAGAGTCAGTGATGCGACATCCCTCGGGGTCAAGAGGCTGTGTTCTGAAATAACCTTCAGAGCCCCCCAGGTCCCAAGGTCACGGATCTGTTGGTTTCCAGAGGCCACAGGTCAGGGCAGAGACAGGCCTGACGGAGGCTGCGCGCCACCCAGGCCTTCTGACACGCAGGAAGTTGCCCTGGGCTGCCCTGGGGCCTTCCCTTCTGCCCCCTCCCACACCACGCAGATTGATGTGGCAATATTTATTCCCATTTAATTGAGACACTGGTTTAATTTCAGACTGCTTCGGCTTAAGGCCCATTGGGGTTTTCTGCAATTCTTTTCCCCAGTGCCTCTACAGAACTAATTGCTGTTAATATCCAATTTTGGCTTTATTATTCGTTGGCCAATTATGTGTCCCATGGCCCAGGCCCCTTGCCGCTCTTGGCCTCTGCTGGAATCAGCTAACACCATGCCTGGCTTTTGCTTTTTTTGGCTTTTTTTTTTTTTTTTTGCTTTTGCCTCTGTTCAAACTCTCTCCTCTCCAAGATGGCTTACTGGGCACATGAGTCATTTTGCTTGTTTGTCCCAGCACTGGCTGAGTTGGGAGGAGGTTTCTTGAAGGCTTTTTCCCCCTTTTGAGGGAAATTTCTTCCTTGCAGTTGAAGCAAATAATGCCCTTGTTAAAAAAAAAATTAAGTTTTTCCGCCCTCTCCTCACCATCTCCAGGCTGGCTTTCTCTGGAGCCGTATTTGGAAGAGTGTTTTTTTCCATCAGAAGAAAGCAAGGTGCCTCAGCCTCAGGGTTCCGCCTCTCTCCCCACTCTCCTCCCCCTCTCCTCGACCATTTTAAAGCCACCACATATGTGGAATGACACAGATTCAAACACAGTGCTCAGAGGATGTCACTTCACATTTCCAGGAGGGAAAGTTGCAATTTGGGAAAAGCACCATCTTCGGAGTTGGGGAGGGCAGCTCTCACCTGCCCTGGAAGCCGCTCCTGCCTGGCATCGCATGATCCTGCATGACAGCTGATGCAATTGGGGGCAAGGGCCTTAAAAAAAAAAAACTGTTCTTTTGCCTCATTTTTTTGCACCCTGGGTTCATGGATAGACAGAAGCAAGCCCATCCCATCGCTGGTGCTCTGGAAACAGAAAAAATAAAAGTAAAAATCCCAAAGACGGTGGAAGGTCCTTCTTTGTCTGCTTCCTCTCCTGCCCCCATTTGGAAATAATGCTTTCAGTGCTATCGCATGCCCTTACATTTCTCTCTAGCCGTTCTGGAGCGACCTGCACAATGTCAGCATCAGAATCGCAGGGAGAGAAAACAAAACGTCAGAGCGACCGGCTCGGGCTGCGGCTTGGGCTGCAGAGGCCCGAGGCTGGAGACTTTCCTCCTGGCCTGGAAATCCTACAGTCAGATTTTTCGTAGGGGGAAGTGGGCGGTGAGAGTGGTGGACGGCTGGGACATGGTTAAGAAGGTGCCTTACGCAGAAGGCTCAATAAATACCACCCAAATTGGTTGTAACTAAATTAGCAGCAGCTGTCCTTTCCCTGCAGAAAAGCTACAGTTAGGCATGAAGGCCTCTTGGGCAAAAGGCTGGATCAAGAAGCAACCTAGGAAGGGAAGGAACTTAAGGATGTTCCGGTTCATCCGCCATCCTCAGCCCCCCACTTAGCTCATCCAGATGTGTGTAGAGTTTTATTTTCAAATAGTTCATGTGTGGTGGAGAGTCTGCCTGCCATGCCTAGACCCAGACAGAATTTCTGGGAAAATTAAGATGGGGAAAAACCTCCTTTTTAGAACCCTTCCATTTTTCTTTCAGAGCCCTTCTCTCTCTCTCTTTTTTTTTTTTTTGAGTTGGAGTCTCACTCTGTCGCCCTGGCTGGAGTGCAGTGGCACACTCACAACCACCACAGCCTTATCCTGCTGGGCTCCAGCGATCCTTCCACCTCAGTCTTCCAGGTAGCTGGAACTATAGACGTACGCCACCACGCCCGGCTAATTTTTGTGATTTATTGTACAGACAAGTTGCCTGGGCTGGTCTCGAATCCCCGGGCTCAAGCAGTCCTCTCGCCTCAGCCTCCCAAAGTGCTGGGAGTACAGGCTGAGCCACCACACCTGGCCTCTAATGACCCTTATATTCAAATCTTTCCCCTTACCACCCAATTCATATCTCAGCCAAGGCCCTCTCCACTGGGTATACCCTCTGAACACAAATAATAGTAACAACAGCAATAATAATCAACTTCTGTTTCCTGCTACTCTTCTGTCCCCGGCCCCTTGAAAACATCTGTATTTATCAATGTTCAACTGACAGCAGAAAGACAGTGAGGTTAAATCTTTACATGCCAATATGTGAATAGCTGGGATAGTCTCTTAACTTTCCCAGAGATATTTTACATGCTAGAAGAGGCACCTGCTGACCACGTCTAACTGTAGGAGTCTCTTGTAAGGGCACCCAGAAGGGAATGGGCAGAATCGCATTGATGCCTCCACGCTCTGCTGAGGATAACGTCATTGTCCCTCCCTTCCAGATTCACCAGTGCACAGCCATCCAAGCACATACACTTGGCAGAGTTAACAAGAAAACACATTTAAGAACCCGAAAAAGGCCAGGCTCAGAGGCTCAGCCTGTCATCCCAGCACTTGGGGAGGCCGAGGCGAGTGGATTGCCTGAGCCCGTGAGTTCGAGACCAGTCCGGGCAACTTGGCAAGACCTCGTCTCTACCATAAATCAAAAATTAGCCGGGCGTGGTAGTGCACGCCTGTAGTCCCAGTTACTTGGAAGGCTGAGGCGGAATGATTGCTGGAGCCCAGGTGGTTGACACTGGGGTGGCCGTGATTGTGCCACTGCACTCCAGCTTGGGCGGTGGAGTGAGACTCCAACTCAAAAAATAATAATAATAATTAAAAAAATAAAAAGCCCAAAATGAATCCTTATTTGCTTGCTCTGTCCTCTGCTCCCTGATTCTAGCATCCTTCCAGCACCAATGGCAGGCAGGTGGGACCCTGAGTCTTCGACAGGGACACGGATGGCAAGAGCATGACACATGACTATCAGTCGA